CTCTCTCTCTCTCTCTCGGCATGAACTAATGAAAATTGACCATTATTGAGAAGACAGAGTTGGAAAGAACGGGAAGCAGGGATGACGGCGGAAAAGGGTGGAAAGAGAAATAAAGAGAGCAGGACATGATGGAGTTTACATAATTAATCCCAACCTCCACACACATACACACACACACACACACACACACACACACACACACACACACACACACACACACACACACACACACACACACACACACACCGAGTCCACTTTCAAAACGTGCGTGTTTATTTATTCATTTATAATCGATCCAAATGACTATACATAAATAAATAATTAAATAAATAAAATAAATTAAGTAATTAAAAAAATGAATGAATACATTTTAAAGAAAAAAAGAAAATAAATAAATAAATAAATGAATGAATGAATGAATGAATCAACCAATCAATCAATGAAAGACGTAGACTCTACGCTGTCTATGACAGTAGAGAAGACGACGCGGGAAGAGGCAAATCAGGAACAATAAGGAATAATTGTGACAGGGAGTAGAAGGGATCACATTCATTCGTGTACAAGATCTAGTACACAATGTCAGTTTAGCGCCTTGAGAGAGAAAAGCCAAAAAAATTTAACAAATAAAAATTGATTAATAGAAAATGTTAATAAAATAAAACAATAAATAATGAAGCGTGGTTGTTTTACGACCTTAATAACACAAATAAGATCATTGAGGAAGCAGGCTTTGACTCTGTTGCAGCCGTCCCGGGGTGAGAGGAATACAACGCCCAAGCAGGAAGACCGAATACGATAACAACATTCTCCTCCCGCAATAATCGAACTATCAGGCCTTTGGCGTGTTACTACAAAGGGCCTAACCATTACATGCACCACAAACGCAGGTAGAAATAATGTGGGTAGAGAAAGGAAGAACTGAAAATTTAAAGTATCTTCTTACTGGCTTGCACATTTGTGGTCAATCTAGACTCAAATATGTCATTTCAAAGGCGGGGCTCTATGCGTAGTTCTTTTGTTTAACTGGACATGTTTTACACACTCATCGACATAGTTTAAATTATTAAGGAAGCTGCCTCTTCTTTTCTTCTCCCCAGGGCT